AACTGAATTCCTCTGCCACAGAGGAATATATTTTAGAAATATTCTAGTGTTTAAAAACTTCTCAGTAGGAAGTAATCTATGACATCAGATATAGACTCTAATTTATGGACATCACGTAAGCTCCTGTTTGGAATAATAAGTTTAAAATCAGAACACGCCATTCCTGTGTCGGCTGGAGTACCGAAAAGCAAATTATTTTCTTGAAAGAAAGATTTTGTTTGATTTCAGCACTGAGTTTATTTGGCACACAGATCATACGTTCATTTCATTAATCGTCAAGTGTGCCAGCGAAAGATTAACACCATCTCACGCTGGCATTTGATTGCATTCAGTTGATAGTTACTTTTCATCATGTTGCTTTTGCAGGGAGCAATCAGGAAAACAAGTCCAAAAACTTCCATTTCCGTTACCTAAAATGTTTTGGAAGCAAGGCCAAAACTGTTTAGGTTTCCCATTTAACTTTAGAAGACCTGAAAGCTAAGTATGAGTCTGAACTTGTGTGGTAGCAGGTAAGACATCTTCAAGATTTGGGAGCTACTGCTCTTGAGCAGTAATCTCCATTTCACCTGTAGAGCACTTGGTAGGCATTTGCTGTTTGCTCAGCTGTGCACACAGCTTCTCTACAGCTCAAACTACTAAATTTCATCAAGAAATATCAAACACACCTTAAGGATATTCCTGATTTACTTTACTATATCTGCAATAGCTGGGGATGCCAGAGAAACTACATGCAGGGTATTAAGAAGATGGATAATGATTTCTGTCTGTCACTGTAAAAGGATACACTTTCTATGAAAGCCATGTTATTCTGAAAAGGTTTGGGAACCCCTTCCTCCAAAATTAACAAACTAGAAATTAATGGACTCAAACCATACTAGCAGTATATTCAGCTATTTAAAAGATACTCACCCATGCAGCAACAATGCCAAACTCAAACCTGGATACATTCCATATGCAAGCCCCAAAGAAATGTATTCTTGGGGGACCCTCTCAGCTGCATTTGTCATGTAAATGCATTTACAAACCCAAACCCAAGCCAAACCCCCATTGTTCCAGCTTTCAGAAAGTATCAGCAACAATGCTGAATTAATCATTGTGCCAATCCATTTTATTCCCCTGGAAAACAAGTCTAACAATTCTGAGTGGGGTTTCACAAGTGTGTAAGTGATTGAAAAATCAATAGGACTTGTTCTCTTAAGTCACTTATGACTAGATATTAATGGCATTTATGTGTCTGGAGATCAAGGCAAACACCTGATGCAGCTTTCACAACACCTACCTCCCACTGAAATCTCACCCTCTTACCTTGCTTATATTGTTAAAAACTTTAATTAATGAGTGATTGAAGTGCTTGACAGTGTTTCATGATCCTTATGAGAGATGCATGTAGCCTGAAAGCATTTTCATTCAGTCCTCTAGGATGATAAATCAAGGACATAGGAATGCTGGTGATTATCAGGAAATGAAATAGAGCCTGGTAATGCTTTTCTTGTAGGCACTCCAACAGTCCTTGCATTATAGAAACAAGTATTATCTCCTCTATAGTCCTTTCTAAAGGCATAAGCAGTTTAAATAGGATTTTTGGACAAGCAGTAACAGGAAACATAATCTTTAGATTTCTTCATATATTTCACTTCAACTTCTATCATGCCCATTATGTCGGATTCTAATATTCCCACTAAATTCTGCAGAGAAGAATCAGTAAATAAAACAATTAAAGTTAATTATAATATTGGAAGCACGGCGAGTTAGAATATAGTCTATACAATCAGGCCTACTGACATGAATAGAGATATTATCCACATAGAGTTTGGAATGCATGGCTAAAGCCTGGAGTCCAAAATACCCAAATGCCTAATGATAATATGTAAATTCTACAGTCACGTATTTCAAAAATGTATGTCAGTTGAAGGCAATTAAGTTCATGGCTAATGAAATTATACAGGGAAGATAAAACCACAAGTTAAGGCTGCAGTTTTACTACCTGATACAACCTATGTTAAAACTCTTTAAATAAAACAGAATAATTGTCTTGAAGGGGAAAGGTTCCCGTGATTTAAAATAGTGATAAATATTGAAGGGTGAAAAAACCAGAAGTATTTTTAAAAGTGTATCAGAACAGGATTTGTCTTCAGAGATTCCTTTTATGGTTTTCAAAAACCATTTTAAATTACAGCGTGTACACTAGGTAACATTTCCATGCTCATTTAACAAAATATGTCAACTTTTGGGCTGCCTTAAAATTTGTACTATCAGCATTAGTGCACGATGTGCTCTCAGTGTGAGATGGATAACTGGCCTGCTGTGGGAGAGAATAATTCTCCTTTCCAGCTTTGAAAAAAACATACTTTGCTACAGTCCTTTTCACAATATGTAACATTGCACAGGGGCTCCCTGTGAAACTGCAGCTCAGTTAAGGGACTTTGGATATTTTTAAAATTCTGCCTCTTAATGTGGGAATGACACATGATATTTCCAAGGTAGTTTGAAAGTAAAAAAGAAGTTATCTGGCCTTCGTGATAACATAAAGCCAAGTGTGCATTAATGGAATTAATAACTTTTTACAGTGTAGGAAATCCTTTTACACAAGTTACAATCTGCTTATTTGCCCAAATAATTTTACTTTGTGTAGTACTTTATCAAACACCTGAAAGACTTGCCAGTTTTGAAGCATCCAGTTCCATATTCGTAGAAGAGGTTTTTTAGATGGTCTTAACTCATATACAAAGAACACAGCAGCACTGTTTTTCCCCTAAGTTCTGAAACCACTGATCAACTACTGTCAGTTTTTTGAAAGAACTTATCTCTTGCCTAGCAAAGCACTGATGATTTACAAAATATCAAAATCAAAAGAAATCTAAATGGACTACTGTAAAACTTCTTTTATAGTCCTTACAAGATTATTTTCTCTATGACAAAGTTTTGAAGAGATGCTTGAAATTACATTGCCACCTGCTGTCTCAGACAAAAATTAGAAGCCAGGTCTGTTTGCTATATTATTTAAAGGTCAGCAAGTATAATGAAAATCTATTTATTTCAGAAATCTATTGTGAAGCAGGGGATGAAATCTCACAGGTCTTATTACCTTGTGACCAGATACATAGAGCTGGGATGAAATCAGGCATATGAGATCCATGACAGTGAAGAGCTGATTGTTTCAGACACAAAGACATTTAAAAAAATTAAACAGACAATGTCATTCCCAATGATTAAGATTCAGATTTCAATATTGTTGTGGGAAAGCACTGTTCAACACTTTGATAAGCATGTGTTCTATTGGTTTAAATCACTGTTAACAGATTTTAATTCCTGGAATTAATGATGAACCTACACTATATCAGATAGACAAAGTAATCTTCAGAGGTTATTGTTGATGACATCCCAGGGAGACTTAGAGATACTGATATAAGGCAGCCAAAAATGGCAGCAGCTATCAACAATCTGTCTTGTATGTTCTGTGCTTCACGGGATTTCACATGCAGTGCATTACCGAGAAAAACTCCTGGCTTTCTTTTCTTTTCCTCCCTTGTTCTAGTCCCTAAATGAATGTTTTAAAGACTTTTTAGCTCATCAATCAATCCATAAATACCAAACAAAAAGCTGTGAGGCAATATTTGTAATAAATCCCCCAGAAAATATAATTTTGTCTGATGACTGACACGTTCATTTTATAGAACAAACAAAGCAGTTCAGAGGTTCTGTGTACACATTAAACTCAGCCTCACCGTCTATTTTTCCATTATTGTTTATTTGTTTTCTTTGTAATCTCCAAAGGGCAACACTCCTATCACTGTCAGTTGGAGTAAGCACAGCTGGAGAACACACAGAGGATCTGCCCCTGTATCTGTGGTACCTTTGTCCAGACAAAATTAACCACGTCTAGAAGCAACACTATTCGAGACAAGTCTTAAGGCCTTAACCTCCTTTGAAATTAAGGATTTCAGTAAGCATTTGGCTTTAAGCATAAGCTTAAATGCCATCTTGAATAGTAAAATATCTAAACGGGCTCTGAAGCATTTTATGGAATCTGACTATACTCTTGAACGTAAGAAAATCCTCCTGAAATAAGTTCGATATTTTTATCCTGAAAATGAGGCAACATGTAGATTCATTTGAGTTGCACGTTTACACGTCCCATTATTCCAGAAGCTGTACCTACACAACAAAAGTGCTCAATATTTCGCTCCTACAACGCTGCTCAAGAGCATCGAAACGGTCCAGGAACACCCACCAGCACCTGGAGCGCGGTCTGGGAAACCCACCAAACCAGTGGCGATCGCGAAGGGCCGGATCTCAAAGTTCAGCAGGACCGTGATGCAGAAACCACTTCGGCAGCCCAGAGTAAAGCAAGTCCCGGAGAGCCCACGAGCGGGACACGATGTACCGATCCACCGCCCGCTGGGACGGCAGGAGGGAGGGAGGGATAGGAAGCGTCCTACGCGGGACTCCCCGCCCTCCGCTCCCGCCGCGCCGGCCCGGACACCGGGCAGCTGTCCCGGCCGACCCTTCCCTCCTCAATCCCGGCTCTCCCTCCTCTCCTGACAGGATCCGCTCCCCCCGCAGCACCAGGACACCCGGCGGGCGGGTGAAACCCTCGCCGGCTACAGACGCCGTTCCGTCCCCCACCTTCAACGTCGCCCCCCTCTCCTGCCTCGTCCGCTTTGCCAAAGCCACACCAGAAAATAAATAAATAAACGCACTAAAAGGCAAGCGAGCAGCCGCCGCCCTCCCACGCTCCGGAGGCAGCTCAGGCCCTCGCCCGCTCCCGCAGCCGCCCGAGCCCGGGGATTATCGCCCGGCAACTGCTGCGCACACCCGGCGGGGCCGGAGGCGGGGGGCCTGCGGGACATCATCCCTCGGGACTCCCGGCGGGGGGTGTGCGGGGCTCCATCCCCCGGCACTCCCGGCCGCGAGGCATGTGCTGGACTCCATCCCCCGGGAGGAGGGCGCGGAGCTCCATCCCCGCGGCGTTCCCAGTCGCGGGAGGGGTGCGGGACTCCATCCCCCAGCGCTCCCGGCCCAGCCGCCCCGCAGTGCTCCAGGAGCCCATTGGCAAATCCCGCCCTCGGGAAGCCCAATCGCCGCCCGGCTCCTTCAGCGGGGCCGCGGCCGCGGATCACGGAGACGGAGACAGGGACGGGGCGGGCGATGCGCGGAGCTCCGCGCGGCTCCGCGGCCGCCGGGCACAGCCATGAACCTGGGGTAAGGAGGGAGCGGGGCTGGGCTGGGCTGGGCTGGCGGCCGGAGGCGCTCCCGCTGCCCGGGCAGGGACGGCCCCAGCGCCGCTCGCCCGGCCGCCCCCGCGGAGCGGAGCGCGGCGGTGCCGCGTGTCCGAGGCCCCAGGAGCGGGACAGAGCCGGGACTGACGGCCCGTCCCTCGGGAGGGCCTCGGGAAGGGGTCTGGGAAGCGGTGGAGGGGGGTGGGACACTGGGGACTCGGCGGTGAGAGGGGGCCGCGCACCCTCCGCGTCCCGCCGGGTGCGGCACAAAGCGGGGACGGGCTCGGCTGCGGGGGAGCGGCTCCGGTCACACCGCTCCGGGCTCCCGAGAAAGTTCTGTGCTCGCTGGATTGGTTTTGTTTGTTTGTTTGTTTTTAATGAAAGCTTGAGGATAAGTGTTACTTTGAACACTGATCTTCGTAGTAGGGTTTCTCAACGCACGGAAGAAAAATGAGTGTTTGTGTACTTTGCCTAAGCACTGCCACGCTTTTCTCTTTTAATAAACCCTTCTAATAAAGCTTGTTCCATTTGGAAAGGTGGATTGTTGTGCATGGAAGCACAATGAAGGGCTGTTACCAGAACACAGCCCCTCTTTGTGATCAGTGCTGGCGTTCTGGGAGACTTGTTGAGTCGTTTTTGTAGCACACAGTTTATATTGTAGGATGATGAAATTCTTGAGGCAGGCGTATTGCTCTGTATAACTATATATTTATATATTTTATATATATATATATATATATGTGAGTGGCACCTTCAGCATCAACCTTTGCAACACCAAATCCAGTTTTTTCAGTAAAAATATACTCTCTTCAAGACACGTTGATTTCTTTGTATTAAGTAACTTCTCAAAACATACAAAGGTTGGGGTGTGAAAGACCATCTGGACTAACAGTAAATACCGGCTTGTAATTAAGTACAATTGTCCTTGTTATTAATGTAATGATCTTACATTATCAGATTATTTAATATTTCAGATTCCATTCTCTCTTTCATTTTGCAGTGATGGACTGAAGCTTGAAACTGAAGTACTGGATGGAAAGCCTAGGCTAATTTTAGCTGCTTCTGGTATTTTTTTAATCATTTATCTCAAGTAATCTTTAAAGCTTCTTGAAGTTAAACCTAAGATCCAAGCAACACAAAGCACAGCTTTATTGAAATATTTTTCAGATCAGGAAGAATGTTTGTGTATTATTATTTACAAGTCTTTTTACTCAAGACCTTGATTCTGAACAGTAGGTTGATAGTGAAGTTTGAATAGTTTGTCCGCTGGTGCACAGGTGGCCAGTAGTCTTGTTTCTATTCATAAAAGTGCTACTGTGTATCAACTGGCATAATTGGATAATTTTTTTAACTTTATATCACATTACTTACCAGGGAAAAAAGAGGCCTAATAACTCTCTGCTTAATTTACACAGAATTACATCATTACAGTCATCTTTTACTTGAAAGCAGCTTCAGTATTTGGCAGCTGACATTTTTAATTTTCAATAACCAGTTTATTTAGGCCAAATCTCATTACTACCATCTGAAATAGACTTTTCCAGTATATGTTCATGATTAAATGTTAAAAATTCTATTTTTGTGATTTGTCAGACATACATTTGCTGCTTTACAGTTACTTTCTGTAGCTGTTCTACATTGTCAGGATACAGAAATTCTCCATTTAATGCCCTTTAAATTATATTTCATTTTCTGCATTTACCAGACAGCTGTTTAATGAGGCTTTATGTGGTGTTTTGAGTCAGGAAGGAACATCAGTGTGCTGGTAATAAACCCTGAAATACCTCTGAAACAGCAATGCTACAGCTTTCGCTCTTTACAACCATCAGCAGCAGCATTGGCTGCAGAGGGCCAGTGCATGTTCCAGAGTGCTCCAAGATAAAGCATTACCTTGGACTGTGAACTAGCCTTGAACAAGCACTCTTCTCCAGAAATTAACTTGTTTATGCACTGATATAAACAGCACTTCCTTGAGAAGAATGATGTCCAAAATTGCGTCAGATTGTATTAGTTCTGAATTTCGGTTTTCTGCGCTGACAAACACTGCTCACAGTCTTAGGGACTAAAGCAGGATTATTCTGCAGTAGCTTAAGCTGCTGCTGGAGACAGATGCTTCTCTCTTACACAGAAAAAAAACCAAAGAAAATAACACGTAAGCAGGACTTTGGAGTTCCACATTATGCATCTCCCCACTGTGATGGGAAAAGACCCTATTTGTGTTTCTCCTTTTTACAGAGAAGTTGGGTTTGAATAGCACACAGAATCACACAGTTTAATTTCTGAATAGCCAGAACGAAGTCAAAAAGTGACTTTCACCTACTCAGATGAGGGTTGAATGCTTGAGAACCCAGAGATGAAAACGGCCACAGAACACCTTTACTACTGAAACATTACCGAGGTGGTTCAGGATTAAGTGCCTGTCCCTGCAGGACAACAGTTGAGCATAGTCCCAAATTTTAAAATGCTCATGTAGGTTGGAAGCCATTAGTAGTGCTGTTTTGCAGACTTTAACAACAGTTCTCCAGTGTCTTCAATTGTTAATGCCAAAAAAAGGTACAGGTGCTACCAGTGCAAAATGATCAGCAGCCACTGCCAGAGCAGTAACTGCATTATGCTGCTGAAGAAGCCTTATTTCCAATAGATGTGCCCCAGTAAAATAGTATCTCTTTCTGTCCCTTTGCATTAGCTGTATGTGCAGGATTTCTCAAGTACCACTTTCCCTCTATTATAATATTCTTTATTCATAAGTATTATACTGAACATGGTACATACTATTATTTTTGAGACCACTACACCTCTATGTATCCTCTAGGATTTGGGTTAAAAGACTTAAGAGTGTTTCAGGGCATAGATGTGGGGAGCAATAATGGATGGCATCTCAGCAATGGAGACATAACATCATGTAACCAGAGATAAAGCCATTACCACAGGGCTCTGAGGAATAATGAATAACAGGGGAGGGCCAGACTGGCACAATAATTTCATTAGATCTGTATAAAACTGAAAATAGTTACTGGAATATATCTAATTTTTTTCCAACATACTTTTAAAGTGTGTATACTGAAATAAGTTAAAAAAGTAAAATAATCAGGGCAGATGTTACAGGCAAAGTATTTTCCCCTGACCTACAAAACCCAGATGAATATACCAGTTTACTAATTTCTCAAGATTGTTTTTCAGGAGGAAGTTGTCATTAAATACTTCTTTCATATGTTTGTGTTTGTTTCCCAAAAGACAAATCAAAGCCTGCAGTGAAGGTAAGTGGAAAAACTATTAGAATACATAGATTAACTGTTTAGTTCATTAACAGAGAAATTTGAGAATTCATTTGAACTACCTAAATACATGTAATCAATTATATTTATGAAAGAGAAATTTGTACTTATGGGTCTCTTATAACTTGAGATATTCTGTGATTTCTCAGGTTCATAATAGCTGTTAAAAAGGATGAATTCAAAGTTCTGTGACTATTTTTACCTTTGAAAAATGCTTTGTTTTACTTGGCCAAGAAGTTAAAGCAGCACAGGGAATCATATCAATCAGAACTTTCAGAGACCTTAAAGGAATTCTGGTAAAATAGGGATCTGAAGTGTGTTTGAGTTCCAGTTTGGTCGTATAGATTGTCTCTGTCTGAGTAAACTGGAATGCAGTGGGTTAGGGAAGAACAGAAAGCAGAAAAAGGCCCTAATACATAGGAAATAATTACAAGTGTCCACCAAGGAAGAAAAATGACACTTATTTTACTTGTTGCTTTGATCTCGTTTTCATTTGTTACAAATACAATTTTATTTCCTTATTTAATATATGGGGAAATCTTTTTGCTTTAACAGATGGGGAATAAAGCCAGAGCACCTAAACAGGCATTGAGAACAAGGCACGCTGGGCATGTCCTGAGGTCAACACAAAATGCTTGTATCAAGCAGGAAAATGTAGCAAAACCAAGAAGTGAATCAAGCTTATCAATGACAAAAGGTGAAAAACTGCAAGTTGCTAAACACTCATCACATGAAGCCACAACTAAAGGTCCCTCTTTGATTTTCCAAAGAGATGGCACACACAGATATCCTGATTCAGAGGATCCTAACATTGTTAAAAAAGCTAAACAGAAACCTCAAACCCCATCTGTATCAGGTGAAGACTTGACAAGTTTGGTGTGTTTAACACAAGAACAGCTCCAGCAGATTTTGATGATTGTTAAAGAAGGAACTAGAAGCATCTCTGAGACTCATAATGAAAAGCAAGAGGAAATGGGTAAGATATCAGCTGTTGAATAAGTTCATTTCATGGAAACAGAGCAAAATGTGAAAGCTTAACTCAGAGTTGATAATTTATTTGCATGCTGTAGAGATGTTACTTTTATATTTAATGGTCTCAGACAAAATACTGTTTGCTGTTATGGATGTGAAATTTTCTGTTACTGTGGGGAACCAAGCATTTGATAATTTTGACAGTAAAAACTAGGGATTGTTTGATAGTATTCCAGTAATTCATAGAGCAAACCAGCAAGCAGTTTTGGCAATATTTCATGCAAAATAAGAACCATTTTACATTGGGGTAGAAAACAAAGAATTGCACTGTATCACTGCCTCAAAGAGACAGGCCCTTCTGGTTAGTGAAGAGTTCAGGTCTTGCAATGTGTCTCAAGAGCAGTGCTGCCATTTTCCTCTGGCCCAAAGATGTACATGTATCTTTTTGCTTAACTGTAAACATTACGGCTGAGTAGTTGTTTTTTTCCTCCCCAGTTCTTCTACTCAGAAGCATAAGAACTGTTGTGTTTTTTCCTGCATTGCACCCTTACTCCTGTTGGTGGGTCTGTGGAGAGGGTCAGCTCTTTGCCACCAAGAATAAGACACTGCAATTAAGTAGAGTCCCAAAGTCTGAGCCTCTAGCTAAGAATAAGCATTTACTAAAAGTCTGGCATTCTAAAAATACCGTGATGTTCTAACATATGTGTCTTAACTATATAAGCAAGGCTGAAAACACTTTTGTTAAATAGTGTGGAGTTTGCAATTTTCTTCTGTTCTTGAAGTATTTTCTCAGTGCTGAAGAAAGTTTAGTGGTCATAAGTATATTTATTTTTATATATTTATGTTGTCCACAGCTACTAATGAGGCATCAGAGGAAAACGTTGTAGCATCACTCCAAAAAGACTGTGAAGTTTCATCAGTTCCAGATGAAGGGAACTGTGATTCAAGCAGGAAACAAGAAGCACATCCACAGCCAGGACAGAAAGTTATGTAGGTAGATTTGTGTTATTGTCTACAAAAATTGTGTCCCCAGTAAAGACTTGTATTAAGATTCTTAATAACATTAAGATTGTTTATAAATACTAATTAAAAAGTTACCTTTAAAATTAACAGATTAGCTTTTTAAGTAAAATTCTTTTATTTCTCCCTCCTTTTTTCTAGAAAGGATTCGTGGAAACCTGCTGACATATTTAGTACCTTGGGTGAAAGAGAAGGGGAGAAAGCCTTACTGGAATTTAAAAAGATCCAGTGGAAGAAAGAATTAGGTATTTATGATGTATAGAATATATTTTTGATCAGTTTTTATTACACTCAGGATGCCAAGAAACTTGGTATTCCTTATGCTCTTTTAAATTTACTTATAATCAGTGCATTTGCTACAAATTGAAAAGTATATAATTTCATTAGTCTCCAAGATAGATTAAGAGCTTTGAATTTCAAAATATTATGCAAAGATTATCAATAAATTCTGGCAAAAATGCATCTTTACCAATTAAACATTATTTCAAACAATTGCATTGTTATACTTCATATTTTAGGAGCTACTTCCCAGTGGTTTTGTCACATTCTGACAGCAGTTGATAGCCATTATCATCAACACATTCACTTGGATTTTAATGGGACAAGTGTCAGCCTAATGTACAAGCACGACTGAATGTATCAAATTGCAATTTGAATTTGAAACAATTTGCACTCCTGCCCCCTCACCAAGCAAGGAGAATCTCTGTAGAAAACTAAATATGCTTAACATGTTTAAAACTAAACTTTTTACTGTTCACATGGAGTGCTGTGTTTTGTTTTCAACTGGGATTTAGGCCATTTGGTTTCAGGGTTTAATTATGCATTTGTCAGTAGCTTCCATGTATAGTTCCACTGGTTTTAATAATGTTTTAGTAGTCCAAGACTGGTAGAATAAAATTGAGAGAATTTATATGCTTGGTTAGTTTTCCCTCTTTCTCTGGGAAATAGTTAAGTCTTTGGTGTTTTCTTCTTCTAGAGGGACTCCCCAGTCACCTCTGCATCTCTGGGCAGAGTCTCAGCTGCCATTCTCTTAAGAGCAAAGTCATGTTGGGAACTTGTTGGTCAGACAATGGTGACAACTCTTGTAGTCCATTTTACAGTCAAAATAACAGGGCAGACATGCATTGATGTCTGTTTTTTTAACTGCTAAATGTTTGTATTAGGAACTCTTATTGGAGGTTTTGGTTTCTTTGTAAGATGAACAGGTAGCACTGAAGAAGAAACTGAAAGAAACCTTGGAGGGAGAAGTGGGATATTTCTGGGCAGAACCTGGCAATAATAAAACCCATAAAGAAAAAGTGGAAACAGCTGACCCAGATCAGGTAAGGCTGTCCATAAACACAGAAGAGCACAGTTTCCATTGCTGCAGAGCAATTTAACTTCTAATTCATACAAGGTTTTCTTTTCTGTACAAATCCAGTAGAATCCAATATCAGTAGTGACTTTAAGCCCTTTCCTGGCATGAAAAGCTGCAGCTCCCTGTTCCACACTTACCTGTAGCTCCAGTTTGTAGCTTTGCAACTTAAGATATTTGTAGCATGAACAACTTGTTCGTGTCCTTCCATTTTGATTCCTGACTAAAAATATAAATGTTTTCTAGTTCTGCTTTGAGGAATAGTCTCAAATGTAATCCCTGGCTACATAATTATTTACATTGTTCATTTGAGCTCTCACGTAAGTTGGATTGTTTACATAATAATGATTATAGCAATAGGACTTTTCTTCTGCCTTTTAAAAAGTCAGCTGTCACTCTGAAAACACTGTGTTAGATAAATGTAATATACTCAGATGAAACTTCTCCAGTAAAACTGATTGCTGTTAAACAGAAGTTAGGGCTGTATCTGCTGTCAGTTATTACAGCAAAAGCAAATTGCCATTTTTTTGTGGCATATTCAGCATTCTTAGCAAAGTTACAACTGGCCCATAAGAATTAGTTTCAATCAACATTAAGAAATTAATTAAGAAGTACTGGATATGAGAGGCTTAGTTACAAGTTTTGGCTGAAGTTTTAATGAATAGCAGCTTCTAGGAGTATCATTTACTTGTTTATTATATGTTAAAGGCTATTTAATGTAAACCAAAGAGGTAAGCTAACTAAAGTCTTAAAATGATCATTTTCTTTGTAGACAGTGTTTCCAGCTGACTCAGTCAATGCCACTGAGGAAAACTGTGCCTGTACAGCTGCTTTAGCCACAGAGGCTGATGAAGTTCCACTGAATGTTTCAAGAGCTCCAGCTGGGCAGTCTTCTGATTTCAGTTCTTCTGACTTTCCAGCTGGCAGTTGCACAGCATTTGTTTTCAGGGTAAGATCTTAAATTGCATGCAGGGTTTTTTTTACTTATTTATGGACAACAAATGTTTGTCTCCAGTAGTTCTTTTAAACCAGAAGAATCCATTAGGTCTTTCTGCTCTCTCTAAATAATTGTGTCTAAATGAATGTTTCTCAAAATATTGATGTTTTGAAGACTGAGCATTTTCAAGGCTGATGTGGAGAACAGTACTAGAGGTGTGACATGAAGTATTAGTTAATTTTTAAGTATGTGTTGAAAAAATAGAGAAGTGGGAACCTATCAAAAATAAAAAATATTGATGGCAGAAGGTTCAAAAAGTAGGTTTTGGGTTGTGGCTAGTAGGCAGTGATTGAAAGGGGGTTTTGTCAGATGGCACTGAAAGTTCTCAGTGCCAGTGGAGTTTGTTAAATAATACAGACATCTTCAGAAGCAGAAACAGAAGAATGAAGATGATAAGTAATTTACTTGAGACAGATTACTGCTACTTAGATTGTGATGCTGAAACTACCTGGAACACAGACTGAGCAGTGAACCATAGGAAGAAGAAAGGGATTTTTATTCATGATACATATAAGTAAGGTTTTCTAGAGTGACAAGCTGATGGTTCAAGTTAGAATAATGTTCAAAGTTTGGCTCATTTAGCATCTTTCTAACAGCAGTCAGATACTTCCTACAGTTACAAACTTACTTTTTCTATGCTAGAGAAAAGCCCACTTATGCTTACTAACTGAAGGCCAAGTCTTTATTACATGGCTAGACAAGGTATTGAATTTTTTGTACAAGGGACTAGCACTTATCTGATTTCAGGAAGCTGTGCCACAGGAACGACCTTTCAGTGCTTTGAAGCATGAGCAACAGAAGAAGTGGCTTGAAGAGTTGGACAAACAGAAGGAAGAAGCTAAACTACGAAAAATAGAAGAAAAACTTAATTTATCAAAGGTATCTGTGGTTTAGAGGGACTTTTTTGAATAAGAGAGGTTTTTCTCCACATGTTTGTTCTAAGAAATAAAAGATGAAATCATAGACCTAATGAAGTGGCAACAAAGGCATCATTATCTGCAGCATGTCCATGTTTTCACTGTAAGGATGGACTTACTGAACATTCAGCCTGGAGCTGTTCCAGTGTTTGGGTGGCAGAGAACAGACTGTGTCTCGTGTGGTGTTACAGTGCTTGCTGCAGAGATTAAGACAGGGATATTGCTTTTTTTTTTTTTTTCTTTCCCACCATATGTAAAAGCACTAGAGTTTGGAAGGTGGTGTAGAGACAATGGCTATATAAAAAGAAATTTTGTGTGGGTTACAAGAGATGAGAAAACAGGAGGAAAGTTATAGACAAGTATAGTGTGTCACACAGCTGTTTAAATCCTGTTTCTAGAAATATTATTTCAATACACATACACTCTTATGAAACCTTAAAAAAGTTAAAAAACTTTTCTCCAGAAAGTATTGAAGAAAATAGCCTTACCTTGTTTACACTTTGGTTTTTTCAGGCTGTTGAATGTAGGTCTCCAATACTGGATCTAGAAGGAAAGTGTGGCCAATGTAATTGCTTTGCAGGTGAAATACCTGAAGAGACTTTTAATACTGTCCCTGTTGGCCAATGGGGTCAATATCCCTGGAGTTTCTTTATATGGAAGCTGACTTCTTTCCTTTATCTGTTACTATCTTTACAGATTTTTTTAAGATCAGTGGAATGCTCTGCATTCTTATACAGCCCCATACTGACACACTTTTCCAAAAACTTTGTTTTTTGAAATAAAAAAACATGCAGTGAGACTGTACTGTTGCCAGAATCCCAAATTACTGTCCACAGCTTGAACTCCAGGATTTTATCTTTCACCATACATGAGCTGTCTTCGTATCATGAGATGTTTTGTTTTATTAGTGAACAAGAAGCCTGGTTACCAAAATTGATGGATATGAATTTTCATAGCCTGTGGCCTTCTGGATTACAAGGCTACAGTTTTTACTCCCAACTGAAGCATTTTACAGCAATTATACAATTGCTAGACAGCAATTCATCATTTTAATGCCACAGCTTGTAATACTAGAATAGAACTTTCCTACCCACCCTCTTGAAGAACCCCTTGGTGCCCAGGTTGGTTGTGTACCTACAGGCAACACGAGTCTTGTCATCTTCTTAGTTATTGAAGGGATCAGGTTTCCTTTGTAAACTGAGTTTTGCAGCTGTGAAGGGAACACAGCTGTGAAGGGTTCCTTCATTAGTGCCTTGTTTTTAATGGATAGCTGTGCTGTGGGAGGAGGGTGCAGTTACCAGTAACTCCCCAGTACTTTCACTCCCAGCCTCTGTCTGAAAGGAGGTTAATGGGCACTTAACCTTCTTTGCTTCAACACCTGTTTCTCAGGTGTTGTCTTATACTCTGAACTCTTTTGCATATTGCAGCACAGATCCTCAAAAGAATAAACTCGATTTTTCAACTGTCTGATCTGCTTCTATATCAGAGTATTCACAGGGACAGGAGGAAGAGTAACTTGGATTTTTATTATTTGGACTATGATTTTCATGCTTCTTTTAAAATAGGTGTTAAACTTAGCTAACACAGGGGAATTTTTGTTTAAAGAAAGGACTCCCAGAAGGTATATCAGATTACATAATTTTAGGTATTTTCTTGCAGAATGCAAGTTTTAGGTAGTCATTCTCCAGTCCCTCCAGGGAAACAGTTCTTACAGTCAGAAGTGAAAACCTTCTCAGTAGCAAAACAATGGCCCCTTGGGTAAAAATCTTTTATTAGTGATATATTGGAATGTCCCAGTTGCCAACACTGAGCCAAAAAGATAAGCCTGGGTGGTACAGAAGAGAGATTTACACCCAGTGTGTCACCTCTTCAGAAGTTTTAGGTACTTTGCTGGGATGGCACTAGTGGCTGCTGGGGGTGGAAGAGGTTTTGAAGGAAGGCTTATTTTATAATAGACATGTTTAGCTGAAAATTGGAAGCTGGAGATTACTATCTCTGCCCAAAGCACATTGATTCTGCTACTGTCCAGAATTAAAATGGAGGGTGTAAATGTAGGGCAGTTTAAAAGAAGCCACTTGCTCTTGTTAGTAAAGAATAACAACACAACAGGAGGGTGAGGCAGGACCAGCACTGACTTCTCTAACAAGCAGTGCCCAGTCCTGTTAGAAAAATCCTGGGACAGAATAGTAATATAAATTGAAAAAACACTACCAAACAGCCTGACCTTATGTTAATTTACTTTTTTATTTTTCAGCACTTTTTCACTCTATAAATCTTGGTGTTTGTTTTTTTCTGAAAATGTAGTAGTGATGTTTTTGCTGACCAAATATGGATCAGCAGGATAATTCCTGATCAGACTTGCATTTTAAGCAACAGACAGACTTGTTTTCCCATTTAAGGAATAAACTGCTGTCAGTATTGTAGCTCCCTAACAGAGTTTTTCCAATGTTCCTGTTGTACAAAATGTGTATTGTCTGTTTTGTGAAGCACACTTTACAGAAACAGTGTGATTGAGTGCTTTTCCTTTTTTTTGTTGCTTGATATTTATTTAGGCAGAAGAGCATGACAGATGGGCAATGCACTTTGATTCTTTTAAGAACCACCTTAATGCTAATGCACAACACCCCCTAAATGGAATGCACAAAAAGCAGCCTGAAAGTCTTTGCCTGTCACCTGACCCTAAGGAGCTGACTGCTTTTATTCACCCTTTTTCACCTGCAGCTTTAGGCAATAATCTCATGTCCTTAAAGGTGGGAAATGCAGAAAAAGCTGCTAAAAATGGAGCTTTGGAACAGAGTCAGAAAGTCAGGTGAGTGAGCTGTGTAAGGATAATCATGTTCCCAGCCAGTATATTTCTGATACCACCTCAGAAATTTAAAAAAAAAAAAATTCTTTAAATCTGATCTTTGGATCTTACTCATTTGGCTTTTGCTTTCTTCAGAAATACCTGTTGTTTCACTTGTGAAAGACTCAAGTGCTTCCATTGTTCATTAATAACACTTACTGCAAATAACCTCACTTTGTTCCTTAGTAAAATGAATTCCATAATGATAAATTAATACAATGGGATAACCTCGATATGAAAATGAAATCTAATTGATTCTGACTAAGAAAGGCTTTAGGGTTATTTTCCAATGATTAGAAACATTTACATGTTTCTTTGTTCTTAGTTTCCTCCGTTCAATGACAGCTCTCCTGGACCCTGCACAGATTGAAGAGAGAGACAGGAGGCGGCAGAAACAGTTAGAACATCAGGTAGACTTTTGTTTTTAAGTCTAACACTATTTTAATAAGAAGGAAGGATAAAAGGTAATGTCTCGTGAATAAAGCATGAGATTTAATACCAGAATCCAGGCAGGCACTTGACTTTTATGCTTTAGATTGCATGTACAGTTGTTTGCAGTATTTCATTCAGTCAGACTCTACAGTGTCCTTTCAATATTTGTAAGAGATGATTGCATTTCTATAACTGAATTCTTGCCTCCAAAAATGTACAGTTCAGTCTTTAGAGCTCCAGTGGGTTTGTGTGCATTTTCCTGGTCTCCACTGTTGTGGGGAGGACTAATATTTACAGATTCCCACTCCATGAATCTTTAGCTTTTTATGCACTTTACTGACATTTACATAACCTCTGTGGCTCTCTAACTGAATGTATATCTCCATGGTGGTGTTTCTAGCACCATGTAAAGAAGTCTCAGTATAAATTTAAGAAGACTGTTCTGCTCAAACTGTTACTCTGCTAGATCAAACTCCTGGCTTACAGTACATACATAAGGTAAAAATCAGACCTTCATTTCTCTACAAGAAAAATAAAAGTGTTTTCTAAAACATTAAAAGCTCCTTTTTGTATCTCAGTATTGCAAAATGCTCGATGGGGCTGGTGGTTTTCCAAAAACAAAGCCAAAAGTGTTTGAAATAAATTGTCTTGATTTTTCTTTTTGTCATTTGTCCAAATCCAATTATTATACACATATATGAAAGTATATGAATAAATAGCTTATAATGCCTCAATGTTATATCTTTTCCTTTTTTTTCTGGTATTGCTAGAAAGCAATAATGGCCCAGGTGGAAGAAAAACGGAAGAAGAAACAACTGGAGGAAGAGAAGAGAAAATGGGAGGAACAACAGGAAGAACTGCGCCTGGCACGAGAAAAAGAACAACTGCAGAAACAGTTTGAAGAAGAAATGCTGAAACAAAAACAAAAGGAGGTGAGGTTTTGCATTATCTTTAGTGCAGATAGTCAGACTGAGCTTTGAGGAGAATGGTTCTTGTTCCTCACCTTCAAAGTTGTGTCACTTCATCATTTTGAAAATGAAAACTCTGTGAAATTTAGACATTTGAAACCAAAATCTGTTTCCTCAACTGATAAACTTATGACACCATACAAGCATAAGGCAACTTTGTTTTTCTGAACAAAGGCCTTTTCAGGAAGAGAAATTATAAGAACTAGCAAAAAGGGAAATAATGCAGAAACATCCATTTTAAAATGCAAATTTTAAATTAAAAAATACCACAGAGTATGTGATGCAATTATTGTTATTGGTAACTCGATGTTTTTAAGATACTTCAGTACCATGAAGTTCATCTGACTGAATGTGCTTTCAGTCTGAATTAAAGACTTCTGAGAATATAGTCTGGAAAAGTAATTTTAAAAGTCATTCATGTTCTGCAGCTTTCCCCTCTGTAGCTATTGCTGAACTTTACATATTGCTTTCATATAAAAGTTAAACCAAAAGTACATTCTGACCTTTGGTAAGTACAAATTTTGCATTTGTATCCATTCTTACCTCTGTAGAAGGTTAAAAGCTTCATCTGATGTTTCATTCTTCCTTTTGCCACAGTAGCAGCTATTACAGTTAGTTTCCTATTTGGAACAGCAGCAGATTCCATAGTGTCACTGCTCCAAAACCTGCAGACATGTGGATCCCTGATTTCAGGGACTGGTAAAACACGGGGAAAGTCATCCTTGCCTGTAACTGCTCAGCTCCTTCAAAACATGTTACACCACCAGTTGTTCTTCTTTCCACCTGCAAATGCAGTAGGAAGTGGGGATGAGATGGGAATAACAGTTTGGAAATGAGATTTTCCTTGGCCCGGTGTCCTGCAGTTGAACCTGCTGAGTCTGGAAACTGTAACCCCCTCACATTTGTTAGGGAGTTTTTACTGTGTCCTGTGGAAGTAGGAGGAAGGTGGGTTTATTATTTTTATTTAGGCTTTGTTCATTTCATTAAACCACAAGATACAGGAAGCCACAAATGGCTGACATCAGATGGCTTCTAGAAAAAGATTAATTTCTTAGAAAGGAAATAAATATCCAAATAACTTTTAGGATCTAAATGCTTACTTTTCTATGCTAGGATTGAACATCTTTCATTAGTACAGCAGAGGTTCTGAATTTATCCTTAATAATCATAGAAATTATATGTTACATATTGCCTTTACTCAACTACTTTTAGTTTTGGGGAAAAAAAAATATTTTCCCAAAATAACAATATATGTAAACCTCAAGGATTACATGGGGATTAAATAATCCTATTAATTTTATTCTCAAAATAAACGATCACTTATTTGCCTTTTTTTTTTAAGGAACTCGCAACCCTTAAAACCAAAGAGCTCTATCAGACAATGGAGAAAGCTCAGGAATTAGCCCAGAGATTAAAACAAGAACAGCACATTCCAGACGTGGCTCAGAAGGCACATGACATTTCCAAAGTTCAGAACAATCCTGGTGGTGGCAAGTACAAGCCTTCTCCTACTCAGTTTGCCTGTTCCTTTGGGGTTTGAAAGCAAGTTTTTTCTGGGTTGGGGTTTTTTTGGGTTTGTTTCCCTGTCTGCATTTGGGTCAGAAATGGCTCCTTCACAAACCAAGTTTCATTACAATTTATTTACCTTCCAAACAAATACAAGTGTTGGTGAATATTCCTATGGTGAATATTGTATTTGAGTAAGTGCCAAGTGCTGTATTAGATAAAGAAACACCACCATAGTCGGGTAACTCAATAGCACGGTTTAAATTGAACATATGTCACTAAATGGAACAATGTTACTTACAACTTTTTAGGTGATATGCAGTGTGAAAATTGTAATTCTGGCATTTCACGTCAAAGTAACAATTTCTGTGATGATGTCAAGAGCCACAGTGAGCAGCAGTTTTCTCCTCGGAAGGACACCGCTGTCCAGACAGGTACGACTGATTGCTCTGAGGGACCTCAGCAAAGGCAGAGGCAGCGTATTTGTGAAATCACTGTGAGCCAGAATGGAATAAAACTAGAAGGAAATACTTGCACAGACATAGGCACGTTGGTATATTAGAGTATATCACTTTATTCTTCTAAATAATTTATATATTTGTATAGTTGCTACTTACCGGTTACAGATTCAAATCACGCAGTCTGGAATATAGTGTTGACTTAGAGTCACAAGCCATGTAGGCCCAAATTTATTAAAGCATTTAAACATGTATTTGTAGTATTCTTCAGCATGAATGTTCCCAGGTTTATGTAATATGGTTTGGTATCGAGCAAGGCTGAGGTTTTCCTAATGTGTCCTTGAATATATTGGCAGAATCATTGTCAGTAATTCTGGAACTAGAAAACTCATTAGAAAATGAGAGCTTACATTCAAATGTTTATAAAATGTTTACATTCTTGCTAAATACCTAGAGAGAATTGCAGGTCCATCTAGATAGAACATATTCCAGTCTTCATCTTCTTGTTTTTGTATCACACCATTAAAAAAAACAGCTCAAACTTAGTCTGCATTTTTTAAATGTTCAAGATGAGGTGTGAATGAGCAGATTCAGTGGAAACTTCCAGTCATTTTATGCCTTGTATGTAGAACTGTATTAGCTTGTCACTTGGGAAGTGCAAGCTTTATTTTATTCCTGCTTGCCAAAGCACCAGCATAATATTTTTGGTTTTGACAGTGCTGGTAGAAATTTTACTGTGAATTTGGACAGTTTACAAATTAAATAATGTTTTTGTGAATGCCTCTTAGTAAAGAAAAAAGCTGGATTGTTAATAATTTAAAAATGTAAAAATAATTTCCATTGGACAACAAGGATTAGGGAAGTTAATTATTCCCAGTAGTGCTGTGAGTATGACCAAACCATGGGCATGCTGGAAAACTATACAGAAGCTGTGTTTTGCTCTTTACTTTTGGGTACCATGACAGAAATAGAATTCTGCATTTTAAAAGAATGTTGTTTCATTTTACATAAATTTTCTTTTACAGTGACTTGATTTTGTTCTCCAATCTTTTGAAGTTTTCCCCTTCCTTACTAGGTTTGCTTTTACTGGTCCTATCTGTCTTCCACATAAAAAAGGAATAAAAAAGCTTTATAAAAAACTGTAACAGTCATTTTTGAATAAAATCATAATGGCAGATTGATATGCATACAAAAGTCAACCAAGTAATTTGAATAGCTTAGAGTTACAATACAGTTTATTTTTTTTAGATTACTTTAATACTGCAGCATACACTGAGTCGGCTGAGGAAAGAACTGTGCGTTGCGAATCACCTGATATTTCTATAGAATATAAAGAAACCTCTAACAGCAACAAATACCAGAAGGAAATGCAATATATAGATAAAAATAAAATATCAGGAAAAGAGACTGGTAGCACTTACAGTGACCTATATGACCAATATGCCAGAAAAGAAAGACAAATTAAATCTTCAGAAAAATACAGCAAAAGACCTGACTGGAACATAAACAAGCCTGGGAAAAGATACATTCCAGCATCAGAAAGATACCCTAAACAACTACAAAAACAAAGGGAAGAAAACAAAGTGAGGCGACAAATGGAGCTGCTTCAGTTGATGGAAAGAAACACCCCCGGACACCTCTGGGCAAGGAAGGGGGGGTGTTTGGACAGGTCTCCCTCACCTCGGGAAGAAACAGCTGTGAGGAATAAGGGGCACAGAATCAGGAAGGTGGGTAACTGCTTGGCCTTTAACAGCAATGATGTGCATGTTTGAGACTCTTGTTCCACAGTTTTACCTGGGTGGGAGTTCAGTTCTGTAACTGAAGCACTGAAATCTTCCTGCTGCTGTCCTTTGTATTAAAAACCCTATTTCGTTCATCATGAGCAGAAGAATATATTCAAATTTTGTGAATTAGCTTTTACTGTTATTTCTGTCCTCCAAAGTGTTGATTCCTTTTCATTTGTTCACCACCACTGATCTATTATGTGAATAGGGAGCTTGATTGCAAGCAGAGTGCAGGCCAGCACTGACCTGCTCCTTTGTGTGCAGTCATTATGTTGTGGTGGTGGGTGAGGTACAGGAGCATCTGTTCAAGAAAACAGTGTTTACTTCTGCAGAGAATGTAGATTACTGAGGATGTATTCTGTTGTCACAGAAATGCATCCTTCTTAGTGGAATCATTTTCCATTTGCAATAAGCATGTATCAGTATAGCTTGTGGCTGGAAAAAAAATTTGTTTAAAGAAAATACTATCAAGTAGTATCATGCCTTCTATCTCTCTCCCCCTTGCTCACTCTATGCATAAACACCTCACTTTCAAATAGAAAAAACCTGGACCTCTCCTTTAATAATCATTGTCTTGGGTTGAACCTTTCAGTTTATGAATGCAGCTTTCCAAGGACATAGAAATATATATATAGTATTTTTGATAGTGCTTAGAGCTGCCAAAGACATAGAAAATGGAAGAAAATCTTCCTATAATTTGCTTACTTTAGTTCATAGACACTGCAAATCTCTTTAATGCAAATCTTTGATAAATACCTTTGTGCTGAACCCAGGTCAAATAGTCCTTGTGGAATTTCAAAACAAACTCATTTTGAAAAATCAAAGCTTTTAATGTAAAAACATGAAGATTTTTGGTTTTACTTTTGACTTTGCTTTCTCCTAGGAAGAACAATTTTATAAGAATCACTTGGATGAAGAAAGGTACGTCAATATTCTGCATTAATAAAATGCATAAATACAGTAATAGTGAAATACATTCGCTTTTCTTTCCTGACTTTTTAGATGTATCTAATTGTCTACTATTAAAAATACACATGACCAGACAGACTGCAATTATAAAAGCAGAGTAGATGAACAAAAAGTCCTGTCCTCTGAGGATTCCTTGTCTCTTCTAGTTGAGAAAATTAATTACATTACTTAAGTATTGTTTGGGCTTTTCTTAACTGCAGTTGTTTCATACAGATCCGAATCACCACCTGTTCCAGCAGTTAAGAACAGATTACTCCAAGTACAACAGAGACAGATCCATGCTTCTAATTTCCCGGTGCATAACAACAGTAGCAGAAGAGAGAAAAGCATCAAGGCAGATGCCGAGCAGAGGAGCTCCCCTCCTCCCGTCCCCGAGGCTGGAAGGCCTCCCTCGGCCCAGTTTATCCCGTATGTCCGAACTAATGAAGTGTATTATCTGGATCCAGAGGCACCAGTGACCAGACCTTCAACACACGACCCACAGTATCGGCACTTCCACGGTACTGAAATGATTCATGTAGAAGAGATGTTACAGTGCTATAGATGCAAGTGCTACAGTTTTACCCAATTTTATGTCTGTTTTTACAGAATTTTGTAGTAATCCACGTGTCACAGCACTGCACACAAAGGCTGTGCAACTAAATGATACTCTCTATTAACCCAACAAAGCAACCACAAAAAAAGTTTAAAAAAAAGTCAAAAAAGCAACCAAAAAATATTTTATCTCTCTTTTTTGGCTGTTTACCTTTCATGAAGCATGATTGCACTTCTCTGGCATTATTGTATATAGATTGGGGTTTAGGAATCTAAGTGTTTTTTCACCTAAAAACAGTGATTATAATCTTGATAGCAACCAAAACCTGATTTTCACAAATTGTGAAAACTTACTGCCTCAAAATTAAAATTAATAAAGGGTATTAACTGATTTGATGTACATTTACTTCTAGATTCTTACCAAATGCCACGACAGATTTTTAGCTCAGATCACATTAGAGATCCTCTTCTAAATCCTGATGTAGTTAGAGAGAGACAACATGCAATTCTCAAAGGATTGTCAAAATTACGCCAGGTAAGCAACAACTTAGTGGACAAACATGCATATATATTTAAGTAAAAATGAACATTGCAAAACTATTACATATCATAATCTTTGATTCATTTTCCATCATATGATTTATGTTTTGAGTCCTGTCCTCTATTTTTCTTCCCTCTTACTAAGTTTACTTTTCATGTGTTGCCTTCCACTTTTGGACAGTCCTTACAGTCAGACCATGGGCTCCTTAGTCCTTAGATTAGCTATGAAACAGTGGAGTGCCTGAGAAAACCTGAAATCAAGAGAAATGGCTTTGTTTCCATAGTTAGGGTTGTCTGTAGTGTGTATGACTTTCAAAAGTGTTTTAACACAACACTAGAACCTTTTCAATGAAGTTTCCCTTCTGTAGTTCCTGCCTGAGTGAGTCTCAACAGAGCACTGGGGCTGGTGCAGAAGGGTTGTCAGTCCTAGAAAAATCCTGTATATTTGCAAACTGGAAGTGTAAACACTTATAAAATCCTTCCAAGACAGCTATTTGTTAGCATGTAAAAAAGAAAATTTTTTTTTTAATCAGCCAGACACACGAGCTCCTGAGACAAAAGCCTGTGTGTGTTTGTATACGTTGTTCTCTTTGTAGTAAGTTACTGGCAATGGTATCTAGTTACTAAAACATGAGTGAATTTGATACTCCACCTGTTGGCAACAAGGTGTGGCCCACAGCAGGTCTGGACACGTACACAAGCAGTTAGTTCTCTTTTGTGCTTCTAAATGGTCTGACTGGGCTGCAAGACAAAAAAGCACATTTACTTTAGATCTGCTTGAAGAACACTGAAGATAAACATCTGTCAGTCCCTTCCCTTGCTTTTTGAATGGCTCCATTCTAAAAGTACTTTCTTGCTAGCAGCAGTATTTATTTTCCTTTTCCTTGAGGGAGGAAAATTTCATAAATAATCAAAGGGAAGAAAATCTGACAGACTGAAGTACTCCAAAATTACAGTAGTTATTGATTACCTGGATTACCTGTTGTGCTTTAGCAAGACAGAAGTACTGCCATGCACAGGTGGTGTTTCAGCTGCAGGTAAATTCCTTGTGCAAAGGAAGGGTCTTAACACACCTCAGCTGAGGAAGAAAAGTTGTGACCCAAGAACAGTGAAAAGCTGCGAGTTTCCAACAGCTCCCAGATGGGTTGGACTGGATCTGGTCTTCCCCAATGCTCATTAACATTTTTGTTAAATATCTACAGTTGTTAAGTATTTTGTATTCAGGCTTCATTTGCCAGTGGCATTTTGATTAAGAGCAAAGCCAGATTCAGAGCACAGTTTGATCCTTCTGCTTGCTGAGGTGAACAAAAGGCGTGGATATTTAAAGAGGTTTACATTTTTGATGCATAGTAAATATTCAAGTCTTAACAGTGGCTAAAAAGTAATGGTAAGGTTAGTCTTTCAGTGGATCTTGGTTCTGCAAGAGAGTTATTTTAAAACATGTGGAGTTCTTTTTTAAATACCCTGCCAGCTGCAGAATGCATTTAGGACATGAATTGTTGAACTTCAGTATATTTGTATATCTAAGTATTGTGTACTCCTGCAGGTGACACCCGTTTTGCATCATTTATTTCACTGAGAAAGAATGAGTAGTGCAGTATTTTGTCTGAAATACAATTTAGACAACGAGCAGAGTTTTGTTTCAGAAGATGATTAGTCTTGTTTTTTGTGTTTTTATATATATATATAGTGGATTGATAGTTTCAGAATATATATATGTGTATATATATATATTCACAACATATTTGACCATTCTTTAGCATTCTTTTGTCTGGGAAAATTCACAGAATATTTGACCAGTCTTTAGCCCTTGCACTCCACACCCAGCCCAAGTGATGGATAAATACAGTTGGGCTGTTGCAGTAACAGCCCAGAGGAACTGAAGACACCAGGGAAAACAGGAAGCTCCCCTGCCAAAGGGAGGGTGAGTCTGTTGCTGCATTCATTACAAGAGAGCAAGTCTCTGCCTATGTCTCAGGTGATAGCAGTAATAGGAAAAAGCAACAGACCTAATTTTCCTCACTGAAATCAAAAATCAGTGGATAAGCCCAGCAAAGTGAATTATTTGTGAAAAAGAAGGGCCAAAGTTTAAGAAAAAGAACACCCCCCACAGCAGGTCAGTACATACCAGAGCACCCTCATGTTTCTAAGGCAATAAAGGCACTTCCTGTAGCTCATGATGGCCAGCACTGGGCTGTGGGAGGACAGAGCTCACTCCTGGTCCCTCCATAAATACTCCACATTACTGTGCTCCAGACCCTTCTATTACCTCTGCAGACCAAGTGATAAACATTGAACTGTCAGTTTTCAATGTTACTTTTTTGTCAGCTCTTGCTTTATTTAGGGCAGTTTATTTTATGAGTTGGTTTTGTAACATGCTACTAAATGCAAGAAACGGTAAATATTAGAAGTAATTATTGACACAGGGACTGAAAGCTGCACTGACCCATTAACAATAATAGCACATACTGTTGATCAATTAGGAAGCAATTCGTCAAGGGGATTGAAGGTAGGCAGCTGCTGCCTTTGAAGGATCCCAAGTTAAGTCTAACAGGCTGCTTTGCTTCTGTGCCTCAGGAATATGTGTCTAAATTCTTGTAGTACCCACTGCCTTGCATCAGGTCTGCTGAGCTGTGCCAGCAGCCTGTAACCCTTATCTTTGACAAAGCTCTTGTAACTCTGAGAAAAATACCGTTTGTTTTTTTTTTAAGTTCCTTGCTACCAAATTATTTCTGACAGGTCTAAAATAGAGGGAGATGAAGGTGCCAGATGTATCAATATATATGATCTTGATAATAACAGTAAAAAGACATTTTAAATTTATGAACACACTTGACATGCCTGCATCATGTGGTACTTAATAGACAAAGGTACACTTCCAAGAGGTTTATTTATTATAGATTTTTTCCTTCCTCAGTACTTAGAAGAGCCATTAGCAAAGCAGGACCCTTGAACCTTCTGACAGTAAATATATGTGTATATCCTGAGATGTCTGACACTGCTCTGGTTCAAACGGCAATGCTGCCCTTGATCTTAAGTATCACTTATGTTGAGACTAAAAGCTGGTCCCCATCAAGGTTTAGGTTCAGCTTCATACAAGAATACAGTAGCATATGTGAATGCAGAAACAGTACACAAAGGAGTGAGCTTCAATTATATACAGTGGAAAAGTCCTTTTTCCCTCTGCATGGTCATCCCTGGAAACTGGACTGGCTTCCACTCCAGTCACACTTCAAGTCTTTTGCAAAGTTCCCTCTGCACAGAGCGTTTGTGCTGCTTTTTCTGAAGCTGGGTACTTAAAAAGTATTGAGCCTCAATGAGTAAATTGTTTTCAGCTATGAAACAGTGACACATCATTAGTTCAGGCTGTGTGAGGAGGACAGAGCACTCACCTTGTATTTGATGTATTCCAGGGCCTCCTGCAGAAGCAGAAGGAGTTGGAGAACACTCTGATTCCCACTGTAGCTCAAGAGAACTTCATTCCACCATTTTGAGAGGTACATGTGAATGTTCTGAATTCTTAAAATGTAAATGCACAGCACTTTGCTACTGTAATTAATTATGAACCTAGCTTTTTTATGAAATTTAAATTATGAGAATTTTGATAGATGACAGGGTCACATTTTGATACTGAAGGTACATTAAACTAATGGTGGTGTGTCTGTTCAGAATGGTCTTCAAGATGTGAATTTAATATAAACCACCAAAACACAGAAGAAAACTGTTACATGGGGTTTTGTAGAACTCAAGTGTGTGTATTTTGATAAATAAAAAGATTAAGATGTATTCTGAATGGCTTGGGTAGTCTTTGTTAGTATTTTTAACTGTAAAATACTGCCTGTACTTGAAATATTCAGCCACCTTTTAGGCTGATACAGTGAATACAAGGGAGTTCTTTTCTCTAAAATGGTTATTTATTTGCCATGTTTTGGGGGAGGGTAACAACTATAGTCTGATACTGGTTTGTTCTTAATTTGAACAAGTCAGTCAATCACCTCTAAAGAGAGGGAAAGATTCAAGTTTAAGGAAAAGTCTATGGCTTTTGTTTGTTCTTTTATTAAAAGCTGCCCTTTTTTAACCAATAATATTTATCCCAACTAATTTTGTGAGTTTAGAAAAATGTAGTTTTAAACACTATCATCTGGTACCAAACAGCACATTCTGCACAAAAGCACTAAAATCAAATTACAAACAGGAAAAGCCCCCAAACACAGGACTGTGGACAACCTGAAGACAAGCAATAGAGACAAGTCTCTGTAAAACCAGCAATACAGTAAAAGGGTCGACTCCAAAGGGTCCGACAAGGGTCGTCTGGAGACTCCACAGCTCCACACTGCCAGCTGCTGCTTTCCAGAAACCTGAGTCAGAGATGATGGACAAAATGAGGCAATTAAGAGAGACTCTGGGGGGGGGGGGGAGACACAGGGTGGAGTTTACAACTCATCAGATGTGAAATTAAAAAAGACTGGATTAAGAAACAGATAAAACTCTTATGCCACTGCTTGTTCACAAAACAAATAAACAACAAAACCAAACCAAAAAACCCCTGAAAGCCCCAGGAATCATTAGGCTGAAGTGGGAAAGGATCGAGGTTTTTCTAATGCAGATTGAACTCCCACAGTCATTAAAGGCAGGTTTGTCCCTCTCATTACAGTAATTACAATGGCCAGGTAAAAGCTGTAAGGACACCGATGGTGCCATAATAACACTGATCATTCTGTGCATGAAGCCAAGTTTGGGTGTTTCTCCCATACTTTGCAAACAACATAAAAACCACAGACAATGCAAGGTGTTAGCAAGTCCCTTGTGCATTAAGAGTTTATTCAATTTCTGTAATGGAACTGCACCATTGGTTACTCTAATTGAGGTATTTAGCCAAAATCCAGTATATAGTCATGAAAATAACTACATTGCCTTAGAGCTATGTAAAAACATTATACAAAAATTTTGTCAATGTCAAATAAATACATTAATATTTATGTAAAGAAAAGTGACTTGGATACTCTTACAGTTAAAAAAAGAAAAAACTGGCTCTTTCACATATTTTAGGCAAACATTCAGTTTTACATGAAAACAGACCTCAAACGGAAGCCCAGGTCAAATACAAATGTAGAAATTAAAAGTGCCAACAAACAAGATAATTCAAGTACAGTAAACGTTAAAAAATATATATTTATTTAAACTTTCAGATGGTTCCAAGAGGGACAAGCCATCAGGAATTTAAATAGAACAAGAAAACATTTGAGATAACAAGAACAAGAAACATTCTGCTCCAGAATAAAATAGAAATTGTTAATCCAACATTTTAGAAACTGAGAAGTCCACAGCAACTTAGAAAAAGAGACTTAAGAGTTTATTTCTGTTCTGAATATGGCCTGGAAGAATCAAAGCTGCTGTCCCAGCCACCAGGTGATGAGGACTTTTCTGTATCCATGCTCTGACTGTAGGCAGAGAGAAAATAATTGCTCCCTTCTTGGTTTTGATTTGCAGAAGAAATTGGATATGTTGTTCCCAGAAAAGTCTGATGAGTGAGTACATTTAAGTGGCTGAATTGATGGGACATGTTTAATTGTCTGCTATAAACCGGGAAGTTACTGAAAGGAGTTTGTTCAACTGAATTGTGTTTTTCTCCCTCAACAGAGCATGTTGTAGAACCTGGAGTAAGTGGCTGTTTCTCTTCCAAGTCACTTTTAGAAGTCTTTTCCACCAGGCCAGTTTGTGCTTCGGGAGATAACTCTGTAACTGATAAGCAGCTTTCTTTAGCATCTACTCCATGTGGGCCCTTGGCCTCTGTCTGCAAAGCTTCCACATGAGTATCATACTTAGAGGCATCACTGCAGATTTCTATTTGTGATATTTCATCCCCTGAATCCAGAGACATGTCCTCCTCATCCTTCTCATCCTTTTCTACAAGAACTACGTTAAAAAAGAGAGAAAGTCCTATTCTATTGAAATACAAACTTGGGTTAGAAAGGCCATACACTACTCACAGCAGGTTACGCTTCAGGTCAGCAAGTCCAATAGCACTTAAGTCTTGGTCTTCTGCCACTCGTGTTCACTTACTCAACACACACACTTAACCCTCTGGGGGAGTGTCCAGTTACTCCGATTCTGCACATTGTGTTCATATTTAGTGTTGGGAAATCCCAACTCCCAGCTCCAAAGGGGGCAATGTCAAAACAGCATCTAAAGTTACACAGCAGGTAAGTATTTAATTAAAAGAGTACAAAAACTGACATGTCAGTACAGTTTATCTACTAAAAGTAGATAAAGGTAGGTAGTAAAGTTTATCCTTTTCCTGCTCTTGTCTAGTACCTCGAGTACCATGTTAGCCTGTACCTTCTGTATTTAAGATCTCCTCTGGTGCTCCATCCCAGCTGCCTTTCCCCCATCATTTAAAACAGAAAAAGAGTAGCTGGAGAGTTGGGTTTTCCTTGCCAGCTGCAGTGTTCGTTGACAAGAGTCAAGGCACACTGTCTAAAGGACCCCCCACCCCACACATCTAGTTTGGCAATGGAAGTTTAAGTGAGTTTAACGTTACCTGATTGTCTTTGGTGAGCTCCGGAGGCAGGAAGGCAGCTCTGCTCCGTAACCGAGTTGTGATACCCAACGAGGCTTTTAAAATTCTGCATAAAGTCATCAATAGCAGCAACCACTACGCCATTATCAACATAACTCGCGAATGTTTTGAGGTTCTTTTCTAAACACATAAAAGATTTTGTAATTATGTTTAGCACCTATTATCAAAGAAAGGGAAAGAGGTATTCACAAATTTGGGCTTTACCTGTTAAGAAGACAACATGTCTCTGTTGTATGTTTTGAGCCTGAAGCCTGATAAGACAGTCTAGGTCTGGAGCATTTCGAGTTTGAGAATCACAGGTATGGTAAGACAGAATCTCAACCAAGTGCTTCTTTTGATAGGTGTTCAGAAGTGTGAGCAGACTCAGGGCATTGGCATTCATCCTACAATGGGGGGAAAAGCTCATTGTTAGAAATACTTGATTTAAGGTCAGTCTAAATATTAGAAGACAAACATGAGAGTAAGTTGTACTGAGGTGGGATTTGGAGAGCATAATGAAAAAGTTGAAGGATTTTAACAGGTGGCACTGAAGAACATTACTTACCTTGCCAGCTCTTTCAGTTTTTTTTGTATTTTGCAGTGGACTTTCCACTGCCATTTCCCATCTGGGGTATTGAGAGCCTCCAGAAACTCTAAGAATTGCTTTAGTTTATCTGTTATGGAAATATTTAATAGAAGTTAAATTTTGTGGTATGCAAACTGAAAATACTGCTTCAGTATATACATAAAGCTGCTTTCTGTTTCCATCACAGCACAGTCACACAACTATTCAGGTTTTCTTCTGAGCAGAGTGGCCAACAACAGTATCACAAAACTGAGCTGCTTTTCTGTAGGTCAGGTGCCCAACAGTGGTATTTAAAAGCTGATCTCAGTCATACATAGTGTTACCAAAATGGTAACTCCATTAACTATTCAATTTCAAATAAAGAAAAAGTGAAAAAACTTGGGTTTTCAATATTTTTTTCCTACTATATTTGTGGATTGAGTAGTAAGGAATAAAAGGTTCCATGTACATGTAATGTAATACAATGTAATACAAACTTATAACAAAATCTCCCTGTTCACATGTCCTTCAGTAAGGCCACTGAGGTGAGAAAGATACTGAATTAGCTGAAGTTCTCAAAAAACATCACAGAACCTTCACTGCAGTGAGTACAGCACCTCTCAGGGTCTGAAATGTCAGGCTTTTAGTCTGTTTTAAAGCTTCAGGAAGCATCACACCCACCTGTAGTGATGGACTCTGGATTAAGAACAGATTCATCCGACACAACAAAACCACCAGACACAAACAGTTCATTGTAAGTGTGATTTTTCACGTCATCCAAACTATCAACCCCTGCAAAGCTGACACAGGAGAGCCTCTTCAAAGTTACTAGGCATGGGATCTGTTTAAAAACATTAGAAAATCAGAGATGTATGCTAAAGGTCATACAAAAAAAACAACTACAGAACTTTCCTACTTACTAATGCCAAACACCAAATTTCAAAACACATCTTCAAGGAATTACTGTTTTATCTCTTGCCTGGGGAGGTGCTCTCTCAGGAACATAACAGGAATTAGACAAATGGAAGCTGAGCATTTGGAATAATTTCACTTTCTGTCCAACACTGGTTCATAAGCCCCAGCTGTCAGGAATATCTAAACATCATCTGAGAGCTGCCTTCACCTGTCATTAGAGCATCACAGAACTAGATGCAGAACTACTCAGGCCTCTCTACAGCTTTACAACTACTAAGAATAAATACACATTAGCACGTGTGTGGGGGTGGAAGAAGCTGGGGGTACATGATGAACAAGACCATTTTTACCACAACCATTTTGTTTCTTCAAACAGCAACTAAACACGGGGCACTATTTAAATGCTGTGTTGTCAAGAGAAAGCAGCCTGGCTCAAAGTGAGCTCATCCCACCAATAACAACAGCTTTTTATAGTACACATTTACCTGTGTGTGACATACCTTATGGATGAGGTTGGCGATGTCTTCATTTTGGATGATGATCAACAGTTTATCTAAATCAGCTCTTCTCTTAAGGAACTGCTCTGGATGGCACTCTGTATTACCCAACTTTATAAGATAATCCTACCACCAAGAAAGAAAAGATGGGGAAAAAAGGGAACAGTTTGGTCAAAACAATCCTCAGATGATGACCATGGCAAATAAGTTTTCCACTCAGATGCATTTCAGAGGGAGTGACTTCCTTGTC